AGGAGGTATCTGAGCCTTTAGCTATCATCTTTGAAAAGTCATGGAAGTCGGTAGAGATTACAGAAGACTGGAAAAGGGCAAATATAGGGCCCATCTATAAAAAAGGGAAATAAGAACAACCCAGGAAACTATAGACCAGTCAATTTAACTTGTGTGCCAGGAAAGATAATAGAGCAAGTAATTAAGGAATTAATCTGCAAACATCTGGGAGAAAATAAGGTGATAGGTAACAGCCAGCATGGATTTGTAAAGAACAAATCATGTCAAACCAATCTGATAGCTTTCTTTGATAGGGTAACAAAGCTTGTGGATAAGGGAGAAGCAGTGGATATGGTATACCTAGACTTTACTAAAGCATTTCATACAGTCTCACATGTTTATATCTCCTGTGGATGTTTTCATTAGCTGTATGAACCCTTTTAAAACCCTGCTGAGCTTTTTCAGTGATATCTTGTGGCAGTGAGTTTTGCAGGCAGAAGGCATGGGAAAATATTTCCTTTTACAGTATTAGATTTAAATTTATTATTAGTTTCTGTAGCTGTCTTCTTGAGCTTGTATAGAAAAGGTAAATAACAGGGGGAAATGGCGTCTTGTTGTAAACATGGAAACTAATTGTCAGTCATGCAGTTACAAGGGTCTGTATCAGATATTTTTGGGTAGTTATGGTGTCACCCTTCCTCAGGAATTAATCTTGCCTTCAGCTGGTGGTATTTGGAAGGCGGCTCGTTCTGAAAGTTTCTCTTAGGACAATGAGAATATAGACAAGGTATACAGCATGGCAAGTATCAACCCTTCAAGTATCTAAAAGGGGTGTTACAAGGAGGAGGGGAAAAATTGTTTTCCTTGGCTTCTCATGGTAGGACAAGAAGCAATGGGCTTAAATTGCAGCACGGGAGGTTCTGGTTGGACATTAGGAAACATTTTCCACCTGTCAAGGTGGTTAAACACTGGAATAAATTACCTAGGGAGGTTGTGGCATCTCTATCACTGGAGATATTTAAGAGCAGTTTGGATAGTCATCTATCAGGGATGATCTAGATGGTGCTTGGTCCTGTCCTGTGGGCCGGGGACTAGACTTGATGACCTCTCAAGGTCCCTTCCAATTCTAGTATTCTATGATTCTGTGATCTTATCAATAAACTAGGCAAATACAACTTAGATGGTGCTACTATAAGGTGGGTTCATAACTAGCTGGATAACAGTTCTCAGAGAGTAGTTATTAATGTTTCACAATACCGCTGAAAGGGCATAACAAGTGAGGTTCTGCAAGGGTCTGTTTTGGGACCAGTTCTGTTCAATATCTTCATCAACGATTTAGATATTGGCATAGAAAGTACGCTTATTAATTTTGCAGATGATAGCAACTGCTTTCGAGGATAGCGTCATAATTCAAAAAGATCTGGACGAACTAGAGAAATGGTCTGAGGTAAATAGGATGAAGTTTAATAAGGACAAATGTAAAGTACTCCACTTAGGAATGAATAGGAGTGTCATAGGTTGTCTATGCGCTGCATGAAGAAAAACTTCCTTTTGCTTGTTTTAAACCTACTACCTATTAATTTCACTTGCTGACCTCTAGTTCTTATGGTATGGGAAGGAATAAATTACTCTTCTTTATTCACTTTCTCCACACCCACCATGATTTTATAGACTTCTATCATATCACACTTACTCATATCTTTTTGAAGCTGAAAAGTCTCAGTTTTATTAATTCCTCCTCATATGGCAGCCGTCCATGCCCCTAATCACTTTTGTTGCCAACTACTTGTATGTGTACCCAGAATGAACTCCTTACCGGTGCATTGTGTCCACTCAACCAGTGTATTGTGTTCAGAATGGATAAAGAACAAGTCAGCATCAGGATGTCTATTATTTACCCCTTATTTCTGGAACATGAGTGATGACGTTTTGCTGGAGACCCTTTTGCACTGAACATTTCTGCCATTTTGGTTCATCTTTGGCTCACCGTTCACAAAGACACCACCCATATGGGGAATAAAACCAAGTCATATTTTGAACACTGTTGTTATTTATCTGCATTCCTGTTGTATTTCAGGGCACTCACTGAGATCAGTGGCCTGTTGGGCAGAGTGCTGTACATACCCAGGTCTGATGGGCATGGGTCTTGAGGATTTTCTCACCTTCCTCTGTAGAAAGGGTGCAGGTCACTTGATAAGAGCTGGGTATACCAATTCCCTACCCCTGTAGGAGCCTCATGCACTGTGCTTTTTGGTCCCTCCTGTTCTCTGCCTCAGGCACACATTGTTTGGCTGCAATGCTTTGGCCTAATTGTGGTTGTCCGCTTTAGTGCTGCGTGGGCTTGGTGGCTTGTAACATCCAGGAGGTGGCCTGTTATGACCGGGTGAACTAATAGTCTCCTTTGGCCTTAACCTCTCTGACTCTAAGCCAGACAGGCAATGTCTGGGACAATGGAAAAGTGGTTACCCCAACTGTACAGCTGGAGAACCACTGCACAGAGAAATCCAGCACGGGGCCTAAGGGCTGGCCAATGAGAGGCAGAAGCAGGAACTGAATTCAGTGTCTGGATTCTTTGCACACACAGGCGATGCTGTTCCCTTTGATGCCGTGGGCTTCTGTGCTGGGGAAGTGGCAGTCTCCTGCAGGAAAAGCATTTCCCTGGTGTTTATGGGATGTGGGCCGGGCTCAGGGAAAAGACTGGGTTTCCAGCTGAAATCTGGGGGATTCTAGAAGGCATGTGCAGCAAACCAAGAGGAAGGGGGCCGTGTCCTCCAGAGCTATCTGGAGGAGCAGGCAGTGGCTGCAGCTTTCATGGAGGAAATGAATGGAAATAGTGTCAAAACTGTGAAGCTGCCCATTGCTCATTTTTATACTTGGCTGGCATTGACACCGAGCACGCCACACACCCTTTATATTTGTCATTTCCATTGGTGCTGGGGGAGCGCCTAGCCACGCCGCTCGCCCTAGCACACCAAAGGCACTCTTCAGTCGGGGAAGCCATTGCCTCCTTCCGAACACTCGCCGATAACAATAAGGTGCTTACCAAACACAAAGACATCAGCTTGTTACTGACATTTTCCCCTGGAAAGCAGGTTTTTTTTTAACAATTGTGAAATTTCCATTTAACAAACTCCCTGAGCCGGCGAGAACTTTGCTGTAACATCAGATATTGCAAGCTCAGATCTCAGGACCTAAATGAATAAATGGCAGTCTTGAATACACACAACCCAGGAGCCCTGGTCTCTGGGGAGAATCCAGTGTCCCAGATAATAAATCACAGGAAAAGATTAAAAATAAATAAGGGCACTTCTGTACCTTTGCTTTCAGACTTTTTCTCTTCTCCTGAGAAGAGTGTGGGGAAGGAACTCTTCTGAGGGAGTAATGTGAGCAGGTTCGGCACCGAAAGCTGCTTCAGCAAGGCAGCCCCTCAAGTGTTACACCATTTCATTAGGAAATAGGTGTGATAAGCCTGTTCCCTTTCTGCAGAGGTGATTCATGGCGGTGTTATCCCCATTTTCCACTGATCCCAGTGTAAAACCAGAGCAATGCAGGGCTGAAGCAAGCCCACCTCTTGCAGGTTGGAGAAGATGGCCTAAAAATGAATGCACAAAAAGTCACCTAGGGCACGTCAGGAATGCAGTCCCAATCTGATTGCAGCTTGTGTAGCGATACCGGGGCTAGCTTTCAGACTGCTAGCCAAGTCCCGGAGCAGCAGGGGCGTTAGCACAGACTAGCCCCCATGAATATTAACCAGGGCTCTGATTAGGCTTCTGTGGCCTGCTTTAATAATTGGGTCTACAAATGTATCCTGATCGAGAGCAAGGGATGTAAAATCCCCATTAATCAGCGAACTGGTTAAACGTTAGGTTAAAAGTGGGCAGGATGCTTTCCGGGTAATCGGTTACCAGTTACCTGTTCACATCCCTACTGAGAGCACCACTGTAAGTGGCAAGTGAAAGTTCATAACACCTCCCCAATAAGCCATAATCATAAACACTAATGAGAAAAGCTGCAAAAGGGAGGCAGGCTGAATTAGTGCAACCAACAAAGACCTATGGATAATAACTCAGGGGCTGTGCTGAGATCATGTCTCACCACAGGAGAAGTGCGGGCCAGAAATCAATAAACCAGAACTTGTTGGTCATTAGGCTTACTTGGTGGACAGAATAATGCAGGGAAGGCCATTCCACCCTTCACTTTAAGATAGAACTGAGGAGGAACATCTGCAAGTGGCCAGAAGCCAATGCTGATGTCTGAAAGACGAAGGAAGGGGAAGCAGCGAGTTTCTTTATCGTGCCTGCCACCCCGCACTGGCTCCTGGAACCCCGGACCATCTTTGTCCTAATCCTGAGTGATGTCCTGGCCAGACTGCCCCAAAAGGACCCAGATGACATCACCACATTCACCACTACTGGCTCCAGATAAATCCCAACCACCACCTCCGACATGCAACTTTTCCTTCTCCACTTCAGTTTTTCTCTTTCTGACCCCTTGCCCTTTGGTTCCTGTCTAGTGGGAGTTTGACTTAGCTGACCCAGACTGCATGTGTTGCAACACGGATGAGAGCCTGCCACCAGAAAGAGGCAGCTAGACTCAATGACCCAAACAGCCTGATGCCGGTGTAAGTTTGGCAGGGCTTGGACTGGGCATCCCCTGGGTTTTTCCAGCAATGAGACAGCAAGTGAGAGTCAAACCCAGAGACAGAAGCTGCCTTTTCCATCTGTGCTGTTCTTTTCTCGTCCCTTGTGTGTGTTTCTCCTGGCTTGGATTCTAAAGAACGAGATTGGGCTTGAGCAAAAACAGCAATGACAACTGCTCTGGCCCATCTCAACTAACGTTTTCTTCTTTCCCCAAAATGGACAGCTAGGACTGCCTCAGAGAGTATGTCAGATGAGGCTTTTTCCTTCTAAGGACTCTCACAGGCTAAAGGGAAAGGAACCAAGAGATGTCAGTAAAGCAATAGCCATATTCAATACTTACATTTCAAATATTTTAACCGTTTTTCTTTCTTTTTGATTTAGAAGCAGAAAAGTGTAGGAAGAATCCTCTGCACTCACGGCAGGAGTAGACTATTCCCAACAGGTATGTGTCTAATCTGCTCCTAAAAACTTCCTCTGATGGAGATTCCACAACCTCCCTAGGCAATTTATTCCAGTGTTTAACCACCCAACAGGTAGGAAGTTTTTCCTAATGTCCAACCTAAACCTCCCTTGCTGCAGTTTAAGCCCATTGCTTCTTGTTCTATCCTCAGAGGTTAACAAGAACAATCCTGTATTCGAAAACTGGTATGCCTTCCACTCAGTCTTGTCTTCAGACTAAACACACACAATTTGTTCAATCTTCCTTCATAGATCATGTTCTCTAGACCTTTAATCTTTTGTGTTGCTCTTCTTTGGACCCTCTCGAATTTCTCCACATCTTTCCTGAAATGTGGGGCTCAGAACTGGACACAGTACTCCAGCTGAGGCCCAATCAGTGCAGAGCAGAGCATAGAATCATAGAATAATAGGACTGGAAGGGACCTCGAGAGGTCATCGAGTCCAGCCCCCCGCCCTCAAGGCAGGACCAAGCTCCGTCTACACCATCCCTGACAGATGTCTATCTAACCTGTTCTTAAATATCTCCAGAGAGGGAGATTCCACCACCTACCATTCTCCCATGAGAATAACTTCTCATGACTTGCTTACAACACTCCTGCTAAGATATCCCGGCAAGGTGGGTGGTGGATTTGTTTTTGTTTGTTTGTAATACAGTTGCAAAAAGTATCATTAATAAAAGGTTAAAAGGGTTGAAATGGTGTGTTTGCCGTGGCACTTGGCAGGCGGAGGGCTTTGTATACCAATCCTGGAACCTCGTTTAACACTGTTCAATGCCGGACAGTGATCTGGTCATGTTAAGATCTTCAGGGGGCCTATATATTCCATCTACATAACTGCCAGAAGCCCATGCTGCCACAGTCCCTGAGCTAGCTTGATTAAAGCTGGTTCCTCACGCTGCAATACCACCCAGTGACTGCAGTCTAGATATACCCAGCGTGGCACATGTACTGCTGTCCTTATCAGCGGAGGAATCTCATGACCGTGTTTGTATATGAACCTTGTATCTGGAACAAAAGTGAGTTGGGAGTGAGTTGGACAGCTCTGTTCAGACCACGTGGCTACACAGTTGGAAGAACAGGTCTCTCCTAACTGAATTCGATCCGATGATGGGGAAGAGCACCATCTCCTCTCTGATGTGCTTGCTGGGACATACCAAATTGAAAGTGATATCCAGCAGTAGCACTGTTGTGGAGCTACCAAAAGGGCCAAACAAGAAAGAAGAAAAAAAGCCAAATGGCACAGTGCTATGGAAATCAGCGCCTAGGGTGACCACCCTACTTGGCCGTCCCTAGGACTGTCCCAGAGAATACCCATGAGCAGATGCATGCTGGAGCAGTGACAATGAGATTCGATATTAATAATTAGTTCTGAAGCCCAGTATCTGGGATGTGGGGAGTTTTAAGAAATAGCCATCTTATTTCCCAAGCTTCTCACTGGACCAGAGGTCAGATTCCCCAAAGCACCCAGTGCTAGTCGAATTCATATCCCACTGGCCAGTGGAAATTTTTTCACTGATTTCAATGGGGCAGATTTGGACTAATGCTAAGTGTCTTTGAAAACCCAGCTTTACTGTTGTTGCTGGCTCATGCTGTGTGGGGTGAGCTGATTAATGGTTTTGTATGCTGAAGTCCGTGCCCATCACTTCCCATCCACTCTGGCATTGTATTTAGGTTTTTAATACTGTCATTTGAAATGTATCTAGATGTCTGTACTCTACACATGCTTTTGCTCGCTTAGTTTTTTCCCCATAAAGAGATGGAAGGAAATGAATCAAGCATATTTAACTGACTTTGATATGGTGCAATAACACATGGCTCATTAACTAACCTTGGCTACATAGTCTATCCACCGTCTCCCAAGGGAGTGGAGGAAGAGTCTAAATGTGTATTTTGTTTGTGTAGGAGCTGAAGCGGGAAAGCATGTTATGACAGACTAGACTGGCATAGATGTGTTGATGATTGTTACAGAATATCCTCGAGCTGGGAGTGTCAAAGGGACCTCATTTAGATCTCTGACTCTCGGTGAATTCCTAGGGGACCAGATCCTATCTCCCAAAGGGTTTGCCTACAGAAGGAAATGTTAACCAGAATTACTGTTTGCTCTATTTCATATTGTATTCATTTAAATGGAGTAGATTGGCCAAAGAGTTACATAAACTAGTCACTGTCCAGTATTAAAGAGTGTTGCTGCCAGGCTCCGGCTTTGCTATACACCCTGGCTAGTAACATGGCCAACACGCCATTACAAATCCTGCCAACCTTTTATTAAAGAAAAAGAAAAGGACAGACAGGTCAGGTATCTGACAAGTAAAGGAGTAAGTAAGGGTTTCATTTGAACAACATCCTACTTCCCTTTTCTGTCAGTGGGAGAGAGCTTTTAGCAGGAAAATCCTCCTTCTCAGACCTCACTTAGATGGTACCCAAAATGGTAATAATTATCCTCTGTGGAAAAGAGAAGAAGTGAGTTGAAATGGGTTGAAACTGCTGTGGGTGTTGCTGTTAAAAGGTTTATCTCAGGTGGTCGGTGGGTTTCATTTGGAGCTTGTAGGGATGATGGTATGAGTTGGCCTTTTGGTTTGGACTTGTACAGTCTGTCTCCATTTTGTACTTTTTCCCACCAACATTTGTTGCTGTAGGTTATTGTGACTGTCACGCCGTGTACAGCCCACCTCCCCTGAAGGGCCAGATAGGTTGGCTTCTCCCCCGTGACCTAGCCCTGGCTAAAATCCCTCTAGTCTGGGTGTTATGGCCCAGGGCCTAGTCCACCACACCTTGGTTGGCAGGGTAGTGTGGCCCAGCAGCCGAGTCTATGGCGCCCCTGTCTGCAGGGTATGTAAGGCCCATACTCTGGGGAGCAAGAGAGGCGGGGGGGTAGAGGGGCCTGGGCCCTCCCTCTTCACTGGGCCCCAGCCCAGGGCCCTGTCAGAGGTAGGTGGTTCCCACCACTGGTTCAGTAGAGAATTCTCCCCACAGCAATCTGAGTCCGCCGGGAGGCCTCTTGCTCCCTGCCCTGGACTGCCTCCTATTTTAATCCCCTGGCAAGTGTAGTCCCCACCTGTGCTAGTGGATGCTGCTGTGTTGGCAGTGGTTGCTGTGGCAGTGGCCGGACTTGCATAGTCTGTGCTGCGGCTGTAACTGCAGCTGTGGCTGACGTGGCAGCTGTGGCCTGTGGCAGCTGCGGCTGTGGCTGCGATTGTGACTGTGACTGGCGCAGCAACTGTGCCAGTGGGGGCGGTTGCTTCTGTGTTCTGGCAGGAGCTCCTTCCCCTCCAGTGGTCAGCCCCAACTGAGCTGCTCCTCTGGCCTTTATACTAGGTCTGCAGTTGGAGCATGCCCAACAGGGCCATGGGGGTGGGGCCTGCTCTGCTCAGCAGGCCTGGTTAACCCCTCGCTGGCCAGTGCAGGGTTGGCATGCCCCGTCTCAGTGACACTTTATGAACTTTCACTTGCTTTCTACAGTTAAGCTCACAATTAGAGCAAATTTGTAGGCCCACCCAGTCACCCACCAAATCCCTGTGTAGACAGAATAGAAATTAATTTATCCCAGAATAATTCATGCTCTTTCAAAGCAGAGTAGTTATTCTGGAGCAAAATCACTTTTGTTCTGGAAGAGAGTGTTCACCCTGGGAGCTATTCTGAAATAGCTATTGCAGAACAGTTTATTCGGCTTTTGCAATTCTAGCCAGTTTTCTCATGTAGAGAACTCCTTAGAGGGTGATCCATTGTCACCATCACAACCAGTGGAAGCTGAAATAAACCATAAAGCTGTTATTTCTACAACAGTTCCATTTGCAAGATCAGGTTGGCAGTTTCCAAGTTTTCCTGGAGGGTCTTATATCCCTCACCCCAACATATTGTTTTGAGCACATTGTCTTGCTTCAGAGGGGATGACTAGTTGCTGACTTTTGTGACCTGGGACAGGAACAAAGTTTACATAGAGTATACCTACATTGCAAAGAAAACCCCAGCCTCCGAGCCTGGAGCAATTAACTCCTGTTCATGGTAGGAAAGCTAGTGGCACAGACATGCTGAAAGTCCTGTGAGCCTGAGTCACTGAGACCCAGACTCTGAGAAGCAGTGCAGCGGGTTTTGTTTTGCAGTGTAGACCTTGTGCATATCTGCTGGTTTGTGGACAGTTGGGACTGACCAGGGTTTTTCAGAGCTGTCTTCTGCGAGTCTGCACGAAGGAATGCCATTGTGGATTTCACTGTGCAAACTGAGTGAGTGAAAACGTGAATGCGTAGTCAAACCAGTGCTCTGGGCTAAGCTGCAGTCTGTGCAAGCTGCTGGTTTCCTGTCATCTAGTTCTGATACTCCTATTCCAGTGTGCCTCTGTGTCTAGCCATCTTTAGACAGTGTTGTGCAGGGACAGAGTAGTTCTAAGTAGACAGAGAGAGCTACCAGGGCACTGATGTGGGGTTTTTGAGATGCCAATGTACACTGCACCCTGACTGCCTTATTGAAGCTGGAACTGACTCCTCCATGAGGAACAACCCAGCCTGCAGTCTTAAAGGCAACATGCACTTTCCTTAGCTTGCCACAGGCTGGCCACATATCCAACTCTCCATGCTTGGGCCTTACAGCTGTGCATAAATATGTAATACGCTAGCTTGTGTGTGAGATCATGCTACTCGCTGGTGACTATCCCTAGGGAACATGTGGACTACTTTGCTCAGCAGACTGTTCTTTTGGGGCATGTCTACACTAGGAACCTATTTCAAAACAACTAAAACCAATTTAATAACTCCCAAAATAATAATATTGAAATAGCATGTCCACATACTGGGAGAGCCTCAAAATTAGTCCGAGGCAGGCTGCATTATTGTGGACGCCCTACCTCGACGTAGAGCCCCCGGAAGCACTGGGGAGTAATTACTTCAGATTACTCTGGGGAATATCAGAGGGCTAGCCGTGTTAGTCTGAATCTGAATAAACAATGGGAAGTCCTGTGGCACCTTATAGACTAACAGATTTATTGGAGCAT